GTGGAAGTGTGAGGAATTCTCGATCAGTAAAAGCTATTATTTTCAGCGAGGCTGCCTTTGCGTTGCCAGCGTACAATAAGGCGCTAAGCTCAAAAAAGAGACATGGCCTGTACAGGAGAACATTAGAAGGTATTCTGGAGACCACGTACTTTTACGAACTCGCTTATTCTACGATTCAAATAAAGGCAGATGTGTGCTTCACTATAGGATACTTTGTGCATGCCTACGCTTGATTTTGACGCATTCTTCTGTACAAAATGTTGAAAAAATCTTCACAAAATATTAAACAATTTTTTTTGTTTGATATACCACGAGCGTGTGGACCGTGTGAAAGAGTGCACGCACATGAATTCCTATTTACTGGTCTTAGTACATTACCCTGTGCCAATACATGACTACGCTCGATAGTAATCTGTAGCTTGAGAGCGTACTGTGGGCTATGCATATTGGTAATCAAAAGCATGATCAATTAGAGAGTGATTGAGAGAGGCAAAAGGAAAATCAGGGAAGCAAACCAAGTCGCACCCGCTTTACTACCCTATACGGGGGAGGGGGAAAGGAGAAGAAAAGAATAAAGCTAAGAGGAATAGAAATATGGTCACATGAGCGAGTACGGCGGAGAGCGCAAGGTCTCACTGTTTATTCACGGGCAAAAGCACTTCATCACTAGGTGTTTCGGCATACACACGAGTATTTATAGATCTCATTCTCATTCCTGCCTTAATTCTCATAAATAGACAATGTGTTCGCCCTTCTCCGCGTACCCTCTGTTGTGAAAGCTTCTTCGTTCGCACAACCTCTCACTGAAAGGTGCGCCGGCAGCTGTTATAGGTGACGCAGCACAAATAGCGGAGTGGTGTGACACGAATTTCTTGAAGCAGCTCTGTGTGCGGGGGGAAGCTGTTTTTTTTCGGCCAGTAGGGCATCTTCGAGAACGTTCGGATTAGGTTGTAACAGTGGTTGGCTGCATCGTAAGAAAAGGAACAAAAAAAAAAACTACCGTGTGAAGGCTTCCAAAGTGTATAACTCGTAGGCTAGCTCGGCCTGCAAGTTTTCTTCTTCTGTTAACCCGCCACGGCATTCCTAGGAGTTATGGCGCTCGACGGTTAACCCGAAGGTCGCGGGATCAAATACCGGCAGCGTTGGCAGCAATTTCAATGGAGACGAAGATGCTTGAACTCCGTGTGCTTAGATTAGGTTCACGTTAAAGTGCTCCACGTGGTCGAAATATCCGGAGCACTACGCTACGGTGTCTGTGATACATATATCGGTGTTTTGGAACGTTAAACGCCAGTAATTATTATTATTATTAATAATATTATTACAGTTTTGTTGGGTCAGCAAAGTGGGCCTAAACCCAGTTATTTGGCAGTGCAACTGTCACTCACCTACCCCAAACCTTCACATATCGGAAACTGCAGGAAGCTGCTATGCGAAGCTACAAGCATGCACTTCAGCAGCGTAAAGTGAGTTGGGCTAAGGTGGGCCGACGAAGCCTACCACGAGTAGGATACCCCACCTTCTTCTCATCGCCCTTTTCTATAGCATGGGATAAATATTGTTGCTTTCTCTCTCTTTTGCTCTTTCTCTTTCTCTCTCTCTCTCTCTCTCTCTCTTCGATTCTCAGAGGTCTGTTTTCACTGCTGCTTGATAGAGATAAACTATGAATCGCCTGTGGCGCATACCCGCATTTGGTAGGCCTTTACGTGCGGTTAGGTGTCATGCGTTATTGAGAGAATTGATTTTAAGATACTATTTTATGATAGCGGGAATCGATTTTATAACATCTATCTATCTATCTATCTATCTATCTATCTATCTATCTATCTATCTATCTATCTATCTATCTATCTATCTATCTATCTATCTATCTATCTATCTATCTATCTATCTATCTATCTATCTATCTATCTATCTATCTATCTATCTATCTATCTATCTATCTATCTATCTATCTATCTATCTATCTATCTATCTATCTATCTATCTATCTATCTATCTATCTAGCAGCTTACGTCTGGGAAGCTCTCGTGATTGCACTCCTAACTTGGCATGAACCAAAAAATTAATATGGGAAGGTAAGATTCTATGACAAATATGATGCGCTGATCAAGACATCATTAATGTCACAATCCTCTTGTGCACGACATCAAACACTACTCGCCAGATAGTGGCACATACCTGTTTGCGGCGGATATGTGCCACTGGTATGCGGGTATGTGCCAGAGGTGATTGACACTTAGTATCTACCCAGAAACGATGAGAGCACACAAGGGTAATTTTAACGCCTGAGCGTTAAAAACCAGATATCGATAACGTTGGTTCGACGAAAGCAAGGAATAAATGTCAGGGTTCCAGCTGGAATCAATTTAAGCATTCCGCGTGGCTGTCCAGTATTCTACCAAAGAGCTAGGCCAGGTCTCGGAACCACTTTTCTAATAGGCCCTAATTTTCATGGATTGTCAATTCTGGTTTGAGTGCTGGCTATCCAATTTTATAAACAACATTATATATGTACTCCTATGGGCAGTGGTACAGCTATCACATCGGGTTAACGTCAATTGTAGCCAAGTATACGTGCGTTAAAGTTGATTGATGTAGCAGTGTCCAGGCCTATCATCCTTGAAGCACCATCCCTTCATATCAGCTTATCGCTTTTGGTGTGGCTGATGCTTATGTTCTTGTTGGTATCCTTGCGCAAGTGCAAACAACTGGTTGCATAAACATCTGCAAGTCTCCAAATTATTTCTCTGCATGCAACATTCTTACGTAAACTTAGCGTCATTTCATGAAGGTTCCTCAAAAAGATTGCACCTTCCTTCCGTATGCTTCGCCTAACGTCGATTCCCAAGGCACGTGGGATTTGCCGAAATATTTCCATGGAACGACATAATCGCGTTTGTCGTACACTTATGTCCTCCTCGGCTTAGCGTCCTCACGTAGGCGGCTAAATAGATAGATAGATAGATGGATAGATAGATAGATAGATAGATAGATAGAATAGATAGATAGATAGATAGATAGATAGATAGATAGATAGATAGATAGATAGCAAAACGCTGTGAAAACGTATTGATTGGTGAAAAAAATGCTTCAAGTCGGAAACGTCTGAAGTTCATAAACATGCTTCAAGTGATGCCACAGGATGAATCAATAACAACTACGACGAAAAATAACGCCTCTATTGCACGAAAGACACAACAGACTCAAACTCTCCCAACTACAGCAGGTGATTAGCAACGTTCAGAAAGGAACACTTTTCTGTCAAAAGGTTTACACGCACAAAGGTACGGAGGCAAGTGTTTCTTTTTTGTTCGTTTCAGGTTTCATACGTTTCCGTCGGCTGAGGCCAAGAAGATATAGCAATGACAACAAGCCTACTTGCATGAACTACAGCCTCAAAAAATGAAGCTATTCGGAGAGCGTAGTTCTGCAGCCGCATGTAGATCGCTCTGTGCACTGTTCAGTAAGAGTGCGCAAGCTCGTATAAGGTATAAAAGCCATAATGTTGAAGAGCTCGTTTCGCGGAAATTCCGCCGTCGATGTTGGCGTAGGCGTTGTTGGTTGCGAGCGAAAGACAATCACCTGGTCCATGACAGAAAATCGAGAGGGATAATAATAAATCATAAATAATAAAGATTTCCGGGTACCAGTGAGGATCGAACCGAGGCCGTTTGAGTGGCAAGCATTCTTAATTGGGAGATATGAAAAAAAAAGAGCAAGCAGCTGTTCTACCTCGCAGCCACTCGTCTTCTCGGAAATGCAGTGAACATAACTTTCTCGGCTTAGAAACGCAGTGAAACGATGATGGCTGAAGCTTTCGTGCGTCCGTCTCTGTAGGCTTAGAAACGCCGCGAAAGTAACTCTCATGCTTTACTTTGTAAACACACGCACCCTGCATGCAGGCTTCGCAATACCACATGTCATATCGCCTTAATATTGCCCGGTACAAGCGCATATTGCCATCCGGCCTGAGAACATGTGCTTGTCATACTGACTTCATGGTTTCAAGCCAGCCAACCGTTAGAAAACACACACATATTACTGCGCGTATACCCACAAGGCCACCTAGTGGGTGCATAGCAAAGTCAAAAACATTTCACGCGCTGAATAGCTCGTCGTTTGAAGCATGCTACTTGTTACAGAAAATGCAGCCCCATGCGAAAGCTTTACTGACCCAAGCCACATTAAACGTTATCGAAACTAGGATTGAAACTTCTCGAGTAACATTATACAATAAAGAGTACGCACAAAGTTTGTGAAGTACGCAATAGGGATATGATATCGCAATAACGTCCAATCCTTAAAGGTACACCAAAGGAAAACAATTACTTGTTTGAGATTGGTAAACTGAACTCTTATGTCGTATCGTTTTCATAAGTTCGTAGTTAGGAAAGAAAATCAAGGTTGAAGTTTAATTTTTAAATTTTGCGCCGCAATTTCCTTACAGGCCGAGAAAAATTCCACAATGTGTTCTTCGTACTTTCTGGACATTGGTTCGACGAAATTTTCTGAAACTTCTTAGGCTAAGCCTACCGCAACCACAGATTACAATGTGCTTCATTTTCATTGATCAGAAGCTACGAAGGACCCAGTAGAGGGCTTCAAAATTTCCTACGTCACAGTGTTTAGTGCAGGAATCTCAAAATGGCGTCTCCGCCCGTAGTTTTTTTTTTCGCGCGTTTTCTCGCTTATAAAATGTTATATCGCGCTAAAAGCGGTGTTTCCGGGTTTGTAAAATTGGACTCTACTAACACGCGAAAAAAAGTTTTTGCTCCTTGAGCGAACCCTAAAGGTTTCCTTATTTTTGTTTACTTAACTCACAATGGCTGTTCTGACGTTCTTTTTTTATGTCTGCACCGTGCAGAAATAATAACCAAAAAAAGACTTAAGTGTGCGAGTGAATAGGAACAAAGAGAACAAGGCAGACGTCACGGCAGTTAGGCCTGTATAAAATGCTCGACAACAACGACCGTAATATACTTGCAGGCACACTCAAGTTCAGCTTGGACGGCATTTTCGTCTTTATTGGTTGTCCTCGCACAGTTCTCGGTTGTACGTCGCGTGTCTGACGTGACAGTACCGTTTGTAGTTTTGACGGCAGTGTCGAGGAATTTCATCAACGACTTCGGGCTTTACCCACAGCATGCACTCTGAAAGAAGGATAAAATGAAAAAAAATGCACACGTGAGTTCTGGAAGACGCTGTGAAATATGGTGAGACAGTGATTATTCAAAAAAATAGAACAAATGCTGTGAAATGGCAGAGTTAAGTACAGGTTGCTCCTGTCTGGAAGGACCTTCCGCTCGGGGCCGACACCGAAGCCAGCCATTTAAACACAAGTGCGAAATGGCCTTTATCAAACAACTACACGCATAGCCGCACGTAATAATATTATTTGCATTTAAAAGCGAAAGCTCTTCTGGTAAAAATGCGAACAAAGTAATCCTTCACGTTAGCTTTAATTTTCCAATTCTATATTTTTGAGTCTCCCCCATCCCTGGGTATGCCAGCAACTTGCAGGCTTACCTGTGTTAGTTGTATGCAGAAAAAAACCTATAATTCAAATAATTGCTGATATTAAAAGAGAGCGTATCATATGAATGGTTAGTGTGCTCTGGTGTGCTCACACATTCACTACGTTAGCAAGAACTGCTTATAAATCGAAGCTCAAGAGTACTTACTGTTTACATGGCATTTCGGGCTCACTAGCGTCGCAAGTACTCTTGGAGCACTGGTAGGTTATACCATCTTAAAGTTTTCAGTTACAGCCAAGCCTCCTTGTATCGAGCTCGAGTGAATTGAAGTGTCCTTAGTAGATTTGGGATTCTCAAGCACGTTGGTCTGTTGGTTTCAGGGAAAGCAGCTAAGCTCCATCTACCTTCTACCCCCTTTCATGAAAACAGTTTTCATTCGGTTGGTGATACATTCACGATAATTTCAAAGGCAAGGACATTTATTAAAATATTTACTGATGTTCGACACAACTTGCATTCCTTGCACAAACAAATCAATGCGAGACCCATTAATACACAGGGCCAGCCACATGTCGGCTGCTAGATTCAGCCAACTCTTCAGCTCACTTTTCAGATAGGCTAGTGTCGGGAATGCCTGTTCACAAGCGTTTGCTCTTGAAAGTGGTTATAGCATGTCCAATTCCTCATCTCCAGCTCCTGTCTTCAAGCAGGATAAATGTGAAAGTGGATAAAATAAGACCTCCGAGGTTTTGCGTCACAGCATAAATACGCTGCTCGTTTGCGGAGTCTGACTGGCGACAAAAAAAAAAAAAAAAGAGCTGGTGAAATTTATTGCACAGATCGCGCCTTCCTGAGTGTGTAACCAAAAAAAAAAAAAAGAAAAAAAACGTATTCTTGGCTTGAGGAGCCCCGAGGAAGTTCCTGCGGAACCACTAGGTTCGACGGAACCTACTTTTAGAAACCATGCTATAAATCGAAGTCTTACCACGCTCTACAGTGCCATAATAGGTAGTTTTCGGATAGCGTACGCTAAGTTGGAGGGTGTTGTGGGCGTGACGTTTGCGTATGGGTGCTATATGAGTTTTCGTATAGTGTTTGTCCCCCGCAAACGCGTACTCACGCTCAAGACACCGCAAATTGGCTTTGCGGGCATTGTGGGCCGTACGAAATTTCATTTTTTTTTGCTGGCACACCACGAATGCTAGCCGTGGTTATAGTTTTATGACGCATTCACAGTGGCAATGGCCGCAGCGAATAATATTGGCATACGTTATTTGAAAACTCCCCAATAACAGTGCATAAAAAGATATACCTATACATCGCAAAAAGTTGTAGGAAGAATTGATATATGATTCATCAAGCACTGTTGGTAGGGCTCTATAGAAAGTCAGCTTACGATCATAGTCAAGGACAAACATTTTCAGGACCAAACATGTGTCGTAGTCGGTGTAGAGGCCATGGCCAACGTGATAATGCTTCAGATCTGAAATGCAAGCAGACATACAGGTTAACAAGGTCTCCAAGATAATAAAATTACAGGTAGTGCGACATCATATCTTGAGGCATATAATACCAAATTTAGGCCGAATCCTTTGTCATGGCTAGGAAGTGGCAATTCTAGAAAAAATCGTTAAGAACATCGCTGAGCTGTGTCTAACGAATAATCATCGTGAGTTCACGTACGCGTCACAGTTAGAATGCCAGCCGATAGATAATCGAGTGCGACCCTATAGAAAACGACATGACCATTATGTCCTTTTAGGGGCGAAGCACCTCAATACCTCACAATCTCCATCTGGCTGCCATAGTCTAAAGACGACGTTGCACCGGTGAATGTGAACGAACAAGAACATCTGTGAACAACAAAAGGTTTTACGAAGGCAGTTTACAAGAACAAACAAAATAAAACGCCACAAAATCGTAGAAACACCTACATGTAGCCACCCATCAATCAAAACAAACAGCATAAAAACGCTCACAAGAGCAACAACCCAAAATAAAAGAGAAGGCCATGATTCATGATCTGATGCACACTGCTTCGCTCGATCACAGGCATTCACGCCATGTATATGAGTAGATTAGGTAATGTTTGTAATGCTGTCTTTCAGGCAGTTAAATTTTAGCCGTGAATTGAAGCGAACAGTTCTTCATAAAGACAATATGCGTCTGCCCAACCATCTACGCGAGGCTGCTGCAAGGCTCCTATTTTACACGCAAAGCAGCTTTTGCTTGGGGCTCTGTCAATCCCTTGGCGACCGTCCTCTCCCCCACTGCGCATGCCCCAACTCTCTCCCTCTCCTCGCGTGAGCGCGAGAAGGCTGGGTTGAGGAAGTGGCGTGATCACTGCATACGCTTCGTTTCTCCTCTGCGGTTTTTCTCTCTTCGCCACAGCTCGGCGCTAGTATATAATGCTCCCGTTGCACTCTCCTTCAAAATGGTGCTTTTTATGTCCGCGTTGGCAACGGCCTCTAAAATAAAGATGGAACAGTCACGTGTACTACTAAGTCTTCCTTTTTTATTCTAACAATAACAACTTAATGATTACACCATCGTCCTCTGAAGGGGGCCATGTGGGGACGCGAAGCAGCACCGGGTGTTCACATTGCGGCACACACCTGGTGATCTACGCAAATGAGAATAATATAATCGGTACACAACATATACGAAATTCAGCACCCAAATGAAAGAGACGCGGAAACATGCAAATGGAAACAACAAATAGAAACAAAATTGAACACCAGCACTGCTTTGCACCCCCACATGATTCCCTTTAGTGAGAGATGTAATTTTAGTGAGAGATGTAATTTTTGACTCCTCTTTCACTTAGATTATCGAATATCTTGTCCCTGGCCTGCCACGCAAAGGTTAATGTCATAGAGACCGAGCCAAACATGAACGCAAGAGAGAGACAGGAACCACAAACGCCGGCTAACAGCTGAAACAAAAAGGGCACAAAACAGCAGAAAGGAAGGTAGACACAGAGGGCGAACTGCACATGTATAGGCAAGAGACGATATCTTTCTAGCATGGACATGCACAGATAAGCAACTCATAGCGATGTTTCGCGTCACCGGGATAGAGATAAACAGTATATTTCACTCCGCGCAATATGTTCAGCATTGCCCCACCGCGGTGGTCTAGTGGCTAAGGTACTCGGCTGCTGACCCGCAGGGCGCGGGTTCGAATCCCGGCTGCGGCGGCTGCATTTCCGATGGAGGCGGAAATGTTGTAGGCCTGTGTGCTCAGATTTGGGTGCACGTTAAAGAACCCCAGGTGGTTTAAATTTCCGGAGCCCTCCACTATGGCGTCTCTCATAATCATATAGTGGTTTTGGGACGTTAAACCCCACATATCGATCAATATGTTCAGCATTTCAAAACTGAATATTACCCCCCCACCCCCTCTTTGAAAAGTGGAATGTTTTGCACTACAAAGCGGAAGATAACGCTGTAACAAGGTGCTTGATTGGGCTAGTTGGTGCTGCATGGTAGACGAAGAAAGTGCTTAACAGCGCAAACGACAGGAGGTGATAGAAGAGACGAGAACAGCGCTCTGTTTTTGTCTCTTCTATCCACTCCTGTCTTTTGCGCTGTTAAGCACTTTCTTCGATAACGCTATAGAAAGAGCAGCCCCTTGCACATTTCGATACATCTTATGGTGACACGTCCACACTAACAAAATGATGGTGTCGACACCTGTAGGTCGATCTTATGGCCAGTGTGAGCTTACCGTCGTCGATGTAGTAGGTGGGCCGGTCAGGGGCATCTCCTTCTTGCCAATTGACAGTAATGTTTTTTCTGAAATATAGAGAAACAAGTTTTAGTGCTGTAATTTTAAAAGCACGTTAACCATTCTAGTGAAACAAGTATCTGTGCTGTGAGCGCTCGGAAAGCGCTCGGTAGCCCCATTGGTTTGTGGGTGGTAAGCGGTACATGTGCGATGTACAATAGCACACTCAGCGAGCAATTTTTCAATGACCTCGGACAAGAAGGCGCGGCCGCGGTCACTGAGGAGTTCTTGAGGGCCTTCATGACGCAACACAAAATGACGTAGTAGGAAAGTGGCAACCTCTTGTGCTGTAGCCGTTTTAAGAGCAGCGGTCTCAGCATAGCGCGTTAGGTGGTCGATAGCAACTATTATCCACCTGTTGCCAGTCGTAGTCAATGGAAGTGGCCCATAAATATCTATTCCAACCCGTTCGAAGGGTCGGGAAGGGCATGGTAAAGGCTGCAGTTCACCGGCGGAAGCGTGTGGTGGAGATTTTCGGCGCTGGCATTCGGCACAAGAGCGGACGAAGTTGCGGACGAAGGTATACATGCCACGCCAGTAGTAGCGATGTCGAAGCCTTTCGTAGGTCTTGAAGACTCCTGCGTGGCCACATTGTGGGTCAGCGTGAAAAGAGGAACAAATCTGCGACCTCAGGGTTCGTGGAACGACGAGCAGCCACTTGCGTCCCTCTGGTGCGTAGTTACGTCGATAGAGAAGCGTGTCACGTATCGAGAAGTGTGGAACTTGGCGCCGAAGCGTTCGCGTCTTTGGGAGTTCAGAAGTGTCGGAGAGATGATTGAGGAGAGACGCAGTCCACGGGTCATTGCGTTGTTCGATAGCAATGGTGTCAAAGTCAAGCAATGACAATGTGGAATCGCAAGCGGAGTCAGCTGTGGCATTCTGGGACAGGGGGGAACGGGAAAGGGCGTCGGCGTCAGCATGCTTCCGTCCTGACCGATAAACCACGCGTATGTCGTAATCTTGAATTTTCAACGCCCAGCGAGCGAGGCGGCCAGATGGGTCTTTTAACGTCGAAAGCCAGCACAGCGCGTGGTGGTCGGTCACGACGTCAAAAGAACGACCATATAGATATGGGCGAAACTTTCCAAGGGCCCACACAATGGCCAAGCACTCCTTTTCTGTGACGCTGTAGTTGGTCTCAGCCTTGGTAAGTGTGCGACTAGCGTATGCCACGACGTATTCCTGATGTTCCGGTTTACGCTGTGCGAGCACAGCACCCAGGCCTACACCACTGGCGTCGGTGTGGATTTCAGTTGGCGCTTCAGGATCGAAATGGCGTAGAATTGGTGGCGTCGTAAGAAGCCGTCGCAGGGTGTTGAAAGCCTCGTCGCAGGCAGGGGACCACGATAAGAGGTCTTTACAGCTGCTGAGAAGTTGCGTGAGAGGTGATATAATGGACGCGAAGTTTCGGACGAATCGCCGGAAATACGAACACAAGCCGATGAAACTTCGAAGTTCTTTGATGGTGGCAGGTTTAGGAAACGCCGTAACAGCTCGCAATTTCTCGGGATCCGGGAGGATGCCTTCCTTGGAAACAACGTGGCCCAAAATGTTCAGTTGACGCATGGCAAATCGACATTTTTTGAGATTTAATTGCAAACCGGCGTTAGTTAAGCAAGTAAGGACGTGCTGAAGGCGACGTAAGTGTGTGTCAAAGTTAGGGGCGAAGACCACGACATCATCGAGGTAACACAAGCATATCTTCCATTTTAGTCCACGCAGGATGTTGTCCATCATTCGTTCGAACGTTGCAGGTGCATTGCAAAGTCCGAAGGGCATGACGGTGAATTCATATAAGCCGTCTGGCGTGACAAAAGCGGTTTTGGGGCGATCGGCCTCCGCCATAGGCACCTGCCAGTAGCCTGACCGCAAGTATAACGAGGAAAAGAACTCGGCACCCTGCAAACTGTCCAAAGCATCGTCAATGCGCGGTAGTGGATAGACATCCTTCAGCGTGATCTTGTTCAATCGCCGGAAATCGACACAGAAACGAATAGAACCGTCTTTCTTTTTGACGAGAACCACCGGAGACGCCCATGGGCTCTGTGAAGGTCGAATGACGCCTCTGCGAAGCATGTCGTCTACTTGGTCAGCAATGACGCGGCGTTCTGTAGCGGACACGCGATATGGTCGTTGTCGCAGCGGTGAGTGGGACCCAGTGTCGATGTGGTGTTCTACTGCTAAGGCACGGCCGAGAGATGTTTGTTCAACGTCGAAAGAGTGGCGGTAGCTCTCAAGAATGGTGAGGAGTTGTGAACGCTGCGAAGATGTCAAATCTGCAGAGATGAATGGTTGAAATATGTTTGCCGACGTTGAGTCAGGCGCTGAGACGACAGCCAGTTCACAGACGGAGGTAGAAGGCACCTCATCGGGATGGATATAATTCTGGAAGTACTGATTGTCTCGACGTGGCCAAGGCACTCGCGACAAAGTAGAGATAAAGACGACGACTCATGATTATAAATTGGCATTGTGGTTGACCCTTCTACAAGATCGAGAGCAGCAAAAGGCAGGGGGAGAGCTCTTCGGGCGACGAATATTGGAGATGGTGTGAAGAAGACCGTGCCGTCGGATATGGCGCTGCATGAAACTGGCACGAACGCAAAAGAGCATGGAGGGATGTAGGTGTCATCGCTAACGACAAGTTTAGCGACAAACTGGGTGTCGACGGACGCTTGGTCATCCAGTGAGCAAAATTCGACCTCAGCCCTAGCACAGTCGATTACGGCGTTATGACGCGACAAAAAGTCCCATCCCAAAATAATATTATGGGAGCATGATGAAAGAACAACGAACTCTATCGTATACAGAACGTCCTGAATTGTCACGCGGGCTGTACATACTGCGGTCGGTTGAACAGGTTGAGCACTGGCTGTGCGAAGCGATAATCCGGAGAAAGGCGTCGTAACCTTACGAATTGAGCGGCAAAATCCAGCATCTATTACCGAAACAGCTGCACCGGTATCTACAAGAGCGACAGTAGGGATATTTTCGACGAACACATCAATAACATTGGTAGGTGACAAATTAGGACTTGGGCAAACCGAAACTTGCGCAGTTCTTGCCTCAGGAACTGCGTCGTCTAGTTTTCCTCCTCGTTAGGTGCGGGCCGTCGACGCATAGGAGAAGGCGAGCGGCGGCGTGGAGAGGGTGAGCGAAGACGTCCCGGCCGAGGGCGGTGGTCGTCCTGGTAGCGGGCTGGCATTGGAGTGGAGGAACCGTATCGTGCGTTGGAGTCAAGCGGGAAGAAAGGCTCACGGCGGTTTTCATTGGTGATATGCGTCCGGCGGCGGCAATACCTTGCGACGTGTCCGGGGTATCGACAAGTGTAACATATCGGGCGATTATCGAGGGTGCGCCACGGGTTGGCGGTGTTAGTGCTGGTCCAGTGAACTGGAGCTGGGGGATAGCTCGCGCGAGGCGGGAAGGGAGGCGCAGGCGCCTTGCGAGTTGGCATGGCTGCAGCCGCGGCGTAGGTGAGAGGAGCAGCCACAAGATTAGGCTCGCGAGCAGCTGGTAAGGCCTCGGCGACCTCTCCTTGAATGACGTCACGTAGAGACGATGGTAAAGTTGTGGTAGCTTCTGGTGTGAAAGGCACCAAGGAAAGCTGTCGTGCAACTTCTTCGCGGACAAATGCTTTTATTTCGGCCATTAGTGACGCATGGTCATGACCACTGATCGCACTAGACAGCGATGCCAAATCGTGCGCTGGAGGACGTCTTGTCAGCGCTCGCTGCTTCCGCAATTCATCGTAGCTTTGGCAGAGGCTAATTACGTCGTTAACAGTGGTCGGGCTTTTCGCCAAGAGCATTTGAAAAGCGTCGTCGTCAATCCCTTTGAGGATGTGCTTACATTTTTCAGCTTCCGTCATTTCGGCGTTCACGCGTCTGCACAAATCGACGACGTCCTCTATGTAACTTGTAAAGGTTTCACCCGTTTCTTGTGCGCGTGTGCGTAAACGTTGCTCGGCACGAAGTTTTCGGACGGCAGGTCGATCGAAGACTGCTACAATCGACGTTTTAAATTGCGGCCACGTTCGGACGTCTGCCTGGTGGTTTCTAAGCCAAAGACTGGCTACACCCGTGAGATAGAACGAAACGCGTGTCAACTTGTCCGCGTCCGTCCATCTGTTTAAAGCGCTCACCCGTTCGAAAGTCGAGAGCCCCTCTTCAACGTCGTTGTCATCTGTTCCACTGAAGATTGGAGGCTCCCGCTGAGGAACACTGCCTGGACAGGTGGCCGGAAGAGATGGAAGCGTCTGCTGATCGGCGTCCGGCATAGCAGAAGGTAGCCGTCGAGAACGGAGTTCCAGGATGGTAGCGGGAAGGTGTAAGGGACGGTACCCGGCACGTCTCCACCAATTATAAAGGAGATTTATTAAGCAGAAAGGTTGGTGCTTGGAAGGCTTGGAAGGCGATGCACCAGCCGCAATTTCCGAGCTCGAGCCGCTGCTGCACACTCGATGCTGCTGCCGCTGCTGCACACTCGATGCTGCTGCCTCTGCGCCGGAGTACTTCCTCTTCTTTACAATATATATATTTATTTATATATATATATATCTCATCTCTCGCATCTCTCTCTCTCTCTCTCTCTCTCTCTCTCTCTCTATATATATATATATATATATATATATATATAGAGAGAGAGAGAGAGAGAGAGAGAGAGAGATGCGTGTGTGTAACATACTGCAAGCCGCCAACTTGGAATTGTGCATTTCACTGATCGTGCATTTTCACTGCTCCGAGGCCAGCTGTGCAATGTATTCGAACTGTGCTACATCGTGGCCCTCATGACTAACTGGTGCTGGAAACATGCCGACTGTATCAACCAGTAATAAGGAAAGGACAAGATGTAATTTTTAAAGGGCCACAAAGCCACTGCGGAATCATCTATAACGAGCATGCCGACGATGCAGCAAGGGTCGCTCACGAAAATGGCGACATGGATACCGTTTCACTATCAAGAAGCTTTTCAGAAAAGCACGTCAAGGACATATGTGAAAACATCGAGGGTGAATGGAATGTCACAACGTAATGTTAATGTCAGGAAGCCACTTCAGGTAATTCGTCGAGATATGCGTGTGTGGTAAGTAGTTTCCAATTGAGTTAAAGACTGCCTCAATAAGAGAAACAGGCCCCGCCGCGGTGGCCTAGTAACTAAGGTACTCGGCTGCTGACCCGCAGGGCGCGGGTTCGAATCCCGACTGCGGCGGCTGCATTTCCGATGGAGGCGGAACTGTTGTAGGCCCGTGTGCTCAGATTTGGGTGCACGTTAAAGAACCCCAGGTGGTCTAAATTTCCGGAGCTCTCCACTACGGCGTCTCTCATAATCATATAGTGGTTTTGGGACGTTAAACCCCACATATCAATCAATAAATGAGGGAAACAGACAGATAATAGAGTTCACGTTGCAAAGGACACGAGAAATAATGGAGACACATTTCATACTTATATCCCCCGATCACCTGAGCCCTGCAGCTGTTGCCCTCAGTCAAGAAGACTAACTTCATTGACAACGGCTAGATTAGCTGGACTACTCACCACGCGCAACCAGTTCAATCACATGCAAAGACTTGCTTTCATGAACATCGCTCTGCGACATAGCTCCTGATGCCTTAAATCTTACCGCGAATATATTTAACGTGATTTCGCGAAAATAAACACATGCACTCAATGGCAACGGTTGTTGTTTTTGAAGAATGGCAGTTATTCTGCCCCAGAGATTGCGGTCACAGACATCATTGAGAAGAAGCTCACTTGGCAGAACCACCGTGCCCTTTTAATTCCCAGACGTAGCCGGCCTTCTTCTGCTCAAGATCCATGTATGAACGAGTGGCAGTTGTGCACAGCATAACGGTGTCGTTGGTTGAGGTGTAGACGGTCACGGCTCGTGGGAACACTTGTACCACCTGAACGCAAGAAAGGAGATAACAAATTAGAACGCACCTTGTGTAAGAACTTGAAATGGCATGAATCGCTCCAACATGAATTCAACGGCTAACACTGTATTCACCGAAATAAGGTACCGCGTAGGTGCACGTTAAAGAACCCCAGGTGGTCGAAATTTCCGGAGCCCTCCACTACGGCGTCTCTCATAATCATATGGTGGTTTTGGGACTTTAAACCCTACATATCAATCAATCAATCAATCAATCAATCAATCAATCAATCAATCAAAGGTACCGCGTACTGTGCGAATGAATGTAAAGCGAAGCAGTCTGCGAGGAGCTGCATACATCGCATTGTTGTTTCTTGCAGCCAAATGAAGGCTTTCGTCATGAGCTGCAGTTCACTGCATGCCAAGGCGAATGCATTCATTAGCGTATGTTTCTTATACATGTATGCACATTTGAAAATCTACTCTACACCACGCTACTTAAACGAAAAACCTCGTCGCTTCAATGCATGTCCCGTCACTTATGTTCGTCGCGCGCTCATATCATGCCCGACGATTCCCACACGTTTGAAGTGAACAAAGGAAATGAAAGTGCCCCGATACACTTCAGGTAAACCAGTCCGTACATGATAATATGATTATGATACGCATTTTAGGACTTGCCATTTACGTTCATCACACAATCGTGTCACGTAGTAGCGCTTTCAGTATATATCTAGTGGACGAAATGATGGTGAGAGCTTCAAGATTGGGTCGTGCAAATCACGTACGAAATATGTTTTATGATTTTCACCTTACGACCTGTCATTTCTCTCCGCGATGCAATAACGTCGCGCTGTACTAATATTATCACACATCAAAGTAGCAAAACGGCCTCCGGTGCACCATGAGTGTGACAGGGGAATCATGCGGTAGACGACATGGGTGCCATGATTTCATGTCGCAACCTGCCGCTTGCGTTCATCATAAAATTGCGTTTCCGGCAATATGAATTTCGCCATATATTAAGTTAGTGAAACGGCCTCCAGTGCATCGAAAGCATGGCACGTAAGCCATGTCATGAATAACATCGCGTGTCATAGTTTTAACGTTGGCATATGTCATTTATATTCTTCTTACAAAAATTTATCGCTATACCTTCTGGCATATAGAGCTAGCGAAACGGCTTCGAGCGCACCATCACTGTGGCATGTTGTATGTGATGCAAGGCGGGGCATTCATGTCCCGATTGTGCTAAAGCCTGCTTTGCATGGTCTCATCGCTGCCTGAACAACGCTTAGAACGGCTGTTTTAGGCAGCGTATTTATTGTCAAAGTTGATGACATTTTCAGGACGAACTTGCAAAAGTACACTGGCTAGCGATAGATTCCAAGAATTGTGACAGCTTCCTTCTGTTTTAGTATATTTGCTGAAAACGAGCAGTAGTGCTGGAAGAATTTTTTCGTCAATATTAGATGATTCGCCGTTTCAAAAAGAGAATGAGTGAAATGGGACAAAAAAAAATCAATATGAGCCTAGAGTTTGAAGTGTTTGAAAGTGTCAAGGTAAGCAAAAAAAAAAAGTAGATGGAAACGAAAAGGATTCAGGCCCATGCATGGTGATCCGGATCCATACTCAAGGGGGGTCGAATTTTTCAGGGTCATATAGTACGGCATGCCGCATAATCATACAGCTGTTTTAAGACGTTAGATCAAAGTAATTATCATCGTTATTGACATGTGAGATGTTCATTGAATTAAATTTATACAGAAGCTGATAATTAGTCTCGCCGCGATAGTTTCGTAATTGCTGATTAAAAAAACTAGCACAGCTTGCAATAACTCGGCAACGTTAGGTCGAAACACAGCTGGTGGGAACATAGCTTGTTTTGGCTTGGCTAGGCGTCAACATTCTCATCTCTATTTCTCATCCCTTCCTACACTAAACTATGTATTGCTGTTAGAGGAAGCCCGTTTCAGCTTGTCATACTTTTTGGAGTACAGCGCTATGAAACACATGGACGGACACTCATTGTAGGCACGACGGGGGCGCAGACCTACGACATATTTTTATTGCCTTCGGCAGTCAAAGCCCTCTTGCGCTTTGCGGCGACTACGGGCCTATGTGAATGCCTTTGACTTTTGTGCGGTGCCACAGCTGCATACGCGTCAGCCCATTTACTCTTCTCTCTCGTGTTTATATACCCCTCTTTCCCATTCTTCCAGCTTAAGGCAGCCATCAGACCATGCACCTGGTAAGTGTCCCTGCCTTCTCTTTTGCGGTTCTTTCTCCTCCTCGCCAGTGCAAACATATGTGCCATGATTGTTCAAAATTCGCGGTGACAATCACGCTTTGCCAGGATTGACAGTTAGCGATAAAAACAACCTGCATAGTTAATTTAGTTATGGACATAGTCACGAGACGCATGCATGCAGAAATTAAAAAGCCCTGTTGTGCGAATCGTTATTGTCACGGTAAATTTTGAGTCACTATTGCACATAATTTGCACCGAAGGAGGCAATAAAAATCAGTTGTTAGTTAGCGCCCGTTGTGTTATCATGTGCCTCTGGCTCTGCGTTTCGTAGCACCGCACCACAAAATATTCGACCACGAACCTGGTCGCCCAAACCAAAGTTTTGCCAGACCAAATTTCAGCTTGTCTTGTTAGCTATCTGTGCAGAGCGTTTGGGCGGTGATTGAGTGTGTGCTGGTGTATGTTGATGATAATTCGTTATCTACGACACACGGCGAACCTTTAGCGCAAGAGCTTTGTCGCACAAGACCAGAAATACGTACAAAAACAATAGGTGACCAGTAAAAGAGCGAGGGATTGTGGGATGCACCGTCTGCTGCCGGCTTCCGGTTCGAGAAGAGTAGACGATGGCGCACCGCTTCGCCGGAAGCTTCAGATTATTCGTGTTTCGCGCGCGTGGCCGCCCGTTTATCTTCGTCCTGATAAACCACTATCAGTGACCGACCAGCAAAAATATTATGGGAATGCGTGGGCGAAATCTACACGCCTTACGAGATGAGCGCGGCCATTGCACCCATATACACGACAAAAAACTTGAAAGCTTCACTCAAGAGTAAGTTTACACGAAGCGCTGGACGAGTCCATTTGCGTTTATCTTGGTCAAACTGTGCGCCAGGACGGCACCCAAAGGAAGAAGTGCGCTAGCAAGCGCAGGGTTTCGATTATATGGCACTCTCTATGTCTGACTGTACTGTTTATGTACCGCTGTGCCATGCAGCTTGACCAAGATCAGCGTTCAAATAAGCATCTGGCTTCAACTAATAAATGCCGCTTATAGCGCGCTGAAGGCTAGAAAAAAATATCCTAATGCGCTCAATAAGTGTCGCGCTTCATGCCGATCCACTGACAAGTTCGGCCGTAGCAGCTATCCCGAAATGAACTCTTAGCACACTGCTACAGTCATCCCCATCCGCTGAGATCTTCAAATGGTGACTTTTTATCTGCAGTACCATATCATAAAGGAAAAATTGTTTTGCGTATTGTTTGATCTGCTAGCCAAACTGACAGCACCCTCGAGCAGCATAAGAGACAAAAAAGTTTCCGAACCGTTCATGGCTTTCGTAGCTTGTCAACCTCACAGTCACGGTTGGCAAACAAAAAAACAACTTCTAAATCACTGACATAGCACCACGAGGTGCTTTTTTTTTCAACGGAGCGGTACAAAAATGCGCACGTGCCACTGCTGACCAGTGTGGTGCGTCGAACCGGAAGCCGTCGTATACCACAGTTCCCTGCAATTGCCCATTTTACCGGTCACCTATTCAGAAGGTGTTCAGCACTATATTTTGTGACCTGCCATCGACCCCATACAAAAAGAAGTGCTGCAGTCAGCGAGACAGCGTGATTGCAGGGTGCTCGAAGAGCAGATACGAAAGTCAGATAGACTGCGATGCTGAGACGGGTACAACGCGTGCTGTACATGAGTGGTTGTTGGGTTCTGTCTGTTCTGCAGAAAAGTAATCGGAAAGGTAAGCTTTGACTTCACGATAGTGAGGTCGGCCGGTGACGTCGGCTTACGCGGGAAGCTTAAAAGAGCCGTGAAATGTAGAAAGTAGACGTCGAATCGTTTCATAAAAAGAGCTTATTGCTTCATGAATCGATGGTCGCATAAGGTCTTCTCAAGTGCGAGTGGAGTTATAGGGACTAGACGCGTGGTTCAAGCGCTTTATCTCTCGTTTCGTACCGGTGAGGACAGTGAAAGCTATGCAGAGGAAAAAAAGAAAGAGAGCAAGGATGCAAACAGTTGCGTCCCTTCGTCAGCGTGCGTCATGGCTTTGAGCTCTTTTAAGGGCGAATCGTTTTAAAGCGGCACGCGTTCGTCTCTCGTAGTCGTTGTCGTAGTGTGTAACAAGTGTTACATTTTGACCTCCAAGGTGGTGCCGGTGAGAGATTTCTTTTGTGCGTTGATGAACATTAAAACATTCGCAGCGTGCGCGTTAACTAAAAGCCGAATGCTCCTGTATCTCATTCCCCATTAGCAGCCATTGGCATGTACATTGAGCACTATCTGACAAGAAAGGCTTGCTACGTTATTATCGCTGGGCGTAACCTCCTTGGTTTTAGATAGGTTTAGCGAGCGTTGGGCCGCAGTGCCATGTATACAGTGAACTAGCATATACCATGAACTCGAGGTGGTTAAAGGTGGGAAGTAGACCCGAAGCGCAAGCCGCAAGCAAGAGTGCGTGTGCCACCTCTCGTTTAGTCCTTGGAATGTCCGCTGGATGGCGGTGCTTCTATATGGGAAATATAGGATGAAAAGATGCGAGATGGCGGTACTTTGAGTGTTGAATAGATGGTCGAACGGACACACAGACAGATGCATGGATGGACGCATGAACGGACGCAGGGGCCGATGCATGAACGAACGCTGGGACGAACGCACGAACAGACGCACGCACAGACGGGTGGATGGACGGAAGGAAGCAAGAACGAATGGACGGACGAATGGTTCGCCCCACTCTCCATCATTCACTCCGTGGATATGCTGCCAATTTTTCTGCCTTTGCACATGTGCCTGTCTTCCAGTGTTATCTCGAGAGCTCGCAAGGACGCGTGGTGGCCGCCCGCTTCGGTCGCCATCACTACGCAGGTCATGATCAAATCAGCATTGGCTGCGGACTGGTTTCATGACGTGACCACGAAATTCACTAATGCACGCTAGAACATTCATTCTGAGCGGCATCATTCATGTTGAACCTGGAAGGTGATGACACAACTGTCTAAAAGCAGCGATTGCGGTGGCCTTGAAATACTGCCCCAACAAGTTCTTGAAATAATGTAGCAAAGTGGGCTACTCAAAACACATGTTCATGACTAATGACAGTAAGCGAAAAAAAAACCCAAAAAACAAGGAAATGTATGAGAAAAGCGCTGTCTTACAACTGAAACCCTAATGAAAAAAAAAACGGGGCCTATATAGACACAAAGGATGACACCAAAAACGTTTATATACACCTAAAATCTGAACGAAACCATACTGATGAGGGTAAGCCCCGCCGCGGCAGTCTAGTTGCTAAGGTACTTGGCTGCTGACCCACAGGTCACGGGATCGAATCCCGGCTGCGGCGGCTGCACTTACGATGGAGGCGGAAATGTTGTAGGTGAGTGTACTCAGATTTGCGTGCACGTTGAAGAACCCCAGGTGGTCGAAATTTCTGGAGCCCTTCACTACGGCGTCTCTCATATACATATGGTGGTTCCGGGACGTTAAGCTCCACATATCAATCAATCAATCAATCAATCAATCAATCTGATGAGGCAAAGGGAGCAGCACACGCTTTAAATTCTTGAAGTGTTTGAAATAACAATGAAAGCAAAACACCGGTGCATGGGCCAGCCCTTCATCGCTCTCGCAGATGTTGAGGTTATCTATCGGCAGCACACGGGATTTCATGATAAACCGGGATCGATAAGATTTTTTAGTGTCTTCCTTTGTGTTTACAGATCCTACGTTTTCTTATTTAAACTTTCAGTCATTATACAGCACTTGCATTGTGCACTTCACTTTTTTTTGTGCTCTTCTCTTTTGCGCAGGCTGCCATTAGGTCTTGAAAACCTAACGCGATGAAAGACTGCAATGAAACGTTTGTATCCACCTGACCAAACTGTTCCTGTAAAGTCGCGCTCGGTGTGACATCCCCTCCCGCTTCCTTCTTGGTAACACGTTTCCGCGAGAAACGGAACCGGCTCAGCTTGGCAACCCCTTCTTCGCTTGCCTGACGCACTCTCGATAAACGGCGCCCTGCAGCTTCCTCTACATATCCTGCTCCTTCCATGAAACTGCCTATCTGATGTTGATGAGAGCCCGGGAATAGACAAGGGGTCTTTTTGCTGCTAGGAGAGCTTGCCTGCTAAACACCGACACCACCGTCTTAAGCCCCACTGCGGGTCATATTTTTGCTGACATCCCTGCATTGCATATTGTTGTACGTAAATTTCTATTTGCAAAACGTCCACCGCTGAAGGCGTCTTCCTCCGGGGAAAAGTCACGAAGACGGCGGCGATCATCCTCGCGAAGCAACGAACTCAGCTTTGCTTCGCCACCAAGAACCAGGTCCGAACCTCATTCCGAGTTTGGACGAAAATTTACTACTTCATGAAATGTTCCCCGTTCGTGTCTAGCTTGTAGTGGTGTATACTTTTGGAAATACGAACGGCAGTATGGCCTCAAAGTATCAATCTAGGAATATGTTTGCTTAAGATAGCCCGAAGTACGAAAATGATGGCATGCAAGAGGAGAAAAACCGTATATTGAATTATTTTCTACCACTACCAGTTCACTGTCTCTCTCTTTAATACTTTCATACAAAAGTCTATTTAAGAAAAGTTGCGTGGAACTTACCCTAACGAAGTCAACAGGTTCCTGGCGACCCGGTAGAAAGCCACCAGCTGCCATAGTTGCAAGCGCCAGGCATGCCACCAGATTTGACGGGGCCATTTTCAAGCAAAAAGTTCCTTCGACGTTAACTCTTTCGCGGGAGGCGTCAATATGCTCATCTGTCGAACGTGCGGTCTCTCTTATGTACAGCACTGGGCGATAAACGTCCTCGGAGGTTCGTGCAGACAGTTTCTACCTATTGGCAAGAAGGTGCTAGCTGAAACTCACAATGTGCAAATGGAAGGTAACGAGCCACTTCAAGTGTCGTTGCTCGAACCGCCACTTATCTACTGGTTTTGAGCATCAGCGTGTTTGGAGGCCGAGGTGTGTGGGCTTTCTTGAGCTTGCACTACATGGCCTACACGACCTAGGCGTGCATACAAACGATGGACGGCTCCGCGGAAATCTTTTCCGCGGGCTGTGGTTCCGCCGCCCGTCCTGCGGAGAAGCGCGTACAGACGGTGGACAAAGCGAGTAGACGAACGCGACGCAGAAAAAAGCATGGCGGTAACGTTTGAAGCGACGCCTGTTTGCTTCGGATTTCCAAGCTATCACTAAAATCTTATCATTACCATTGCGTGCTGCGTTGTCCTCAGTCTAAATTTAACCGTCTAGTTATCCTCCAGGTTTCTGCTCCGGAGGTAAGTACTGGTAAGCTGCAGCTGTTATACACGTTCCTTTTGAGGGATAGTGGTAAAATTATCATTCATGATTGGAGAATGCTTGACGAATGTGTCGCTCTAATCCTTATTCTTCTGGACTTCGCTATCAGGACTACACAGCGAGAAATGAAATGGAAAATGATAGGTGTAACACTGTACAGGGAACAAACGCATATTAAGGACATCATATTCGAAATCAAGAAGAAGAAATGGTCATTTGCTAGGCACGTAGCTCGAAGGCAAGATAACTGCTGGTTATTGAAGACCACAGACTGGATTCTTACTGAGGGCAAGCGGTTGAAAGGGACGCATAAATTTAAGGGGCCAGATGAGATTAGGAAGCTTGCGGGTGTAAAGTGGCAGCAGCAAGCACAGGGATGAGTTGACTAGTGGAACATGGTGGATTCCTATGTCCTGCAAAGGGCGTACTCAAGCTGCTGCAGCTGCTGATAATATTATCTGAGGTTATAAGTCCCAAAACCAAGGTTTTATCATGAGAGATGACGAAGTAGAGGGCTCCAGAAATTAAGACCACCTGGTGCTCTCTAACGTGCAATGACATCCGAAAGCACACGGGCTTCTATTATTTCGCCTTCATTGAAATGCGACCACTGCCGCCGGGATCGAACCCTCAACCTTTGGTTCAGTAGCCGAGCACTTTAGCAACTCATTCTACGAGGCGGACAAAAAACCTTTAAGCTATTAGTCGTGCGTTGCGTGGCCTGTTAGTCACAAACTGACGCTGGTATTTGCTTTAGTTTTGTGTACGAAAGCTTTCGATGGAAAAACATTCATGGCGATTAGACAACCACCGCTTCAAGTCGTACCAATTCTCTAGGAGCTGTATATGCCTTGCATACGCTTCTATTCGCAACTCCGAAAAACGCTCAATGTGCTGGCAACACTGCTCAAAAAAAAGCAAAGATGGCTATATATATATATATATATATATATATATATATATATATATATATATATATATATATATATATATATATATATATATATATATATATATATATATATATATATATATATATACGGGAGAAAAAGAAGTGTGTACATAAGGGCCGTTTTTCCGTGTTTTGACACGATATTAATAAAATCTGACAGACAATAATGCCACGGAAAGTATAGGGGAGGTTATTAGACCGAATGATAAAGTAAATGTTAAGAAAGAAAAGTTGTTGAAAAGATGTATTGCTCTGGGCGGGAACCGAACCTGTGATATATATATATATATATATATATATATATATATATATATATATATATATATATATATATATATATATATATATATATATATATATATATATATCCTTTTCGTTTAAACCCACGCAGCCTTCAATGTACATGAGTGTCTGCTGAGAAACCAACATATGGCGGCCGTTCTAGCCAGTTGTACGCAACCTTTATCAAAGTTATCACCACCCTAATACATGGAAAGGCACGCACATGAAGGCTCTCTTGTAAAGCGACCGTTTCACGACCCACCTAGGAACCTCCACCCCGCCTCCTAAATATGTCAGCCGCATGAACCTGACGAAGGTATAATAAATAAAAAAAACTCCGAACTGATCAAGGTAAAATAAAGTTTAGGTTTAAATCACCAAATAATAAATAACCACATTAGGCTTTCAAAATTAAGCGATGGTTTAGTCAACAAAAATGGAGATAAATGGATGAATCGTAACAAGCCTATTGTCACGGGGTCGTGACGTGGCCGGAGACAGGAGACTTCGAGTCGGGATTTAACTGTTGATTTGGGCGAACCTGTGCCCGGTAAACGGAAAGTCCAATTACAGCAGCAGTCTCGCACATATAGCAGTCTCGGTTAGCGGTTGGTCGACAGGCGCACGAGAGAGACAGTCGGCGTCGGAGTGTTTTTTGCCGGACTTGTAAATGACCGTAATGTCATATTCTTGAAGTCTCACGCTCCATCATGCGAGGTGACCTGAAGGTGGCTAGCCAACACAAGGCGTGGTGCATTGACGGCGAAGCCACGCAGTCCCATCTGTCGGTACTGGCAACGGCGTTATGTGTGTCCGGCCTCGCCGCAGTGGTAGCAGAGCGGGCCATGGTCAGGGGTGCGCCAGACGTCAGTCTTCCTCGTTGCACTGCGCTGGGCTGCTGACGAACGGTATGACATCGGTGGGGGTGGTGCCAGACGTCAGTCTTCCTCGTTGCACTGCGCTGGGCTGCTGACGAACGGTATGACATCGGTGGGGGTGGTGGCAGCGGTTGCGCCTGTCGACGGAAGTGCGATGGGGCGGCGTTTTGGTGTGGACGGGGAGGAGCGTTGTGGCGCACTGCAGCGGCGTAGCTCATAGCTTCCGGCTCGGGCAGCGGTGCGTGGGGAATTTGAAGCGATTGCCGAACTTCTTCTCGCACAATGTCGGCGATTGAATCCACTTGAGGCTGCGCCGAAGGCAACAGCTTGCGCAGCTCTTCCCGCACGGTCACTCGGATCGTTTCACGCAGGTCTCCGGAGTTACTGGCTTGAGCAGCCGCGCAGTCTGCAGTCAGGCGACGATTATACTGTCTGGTGCGCATGTCCAGGGTCTTTTTGATAGTGGTCACTTCGGCTAGAAATTCTTGGACGGTTTTCGGTGGGTTTCTTATCAGTCCCGCGAAGAGCTCCTGTTTGACCCCTCGCATGAGAAAACGAACTTTTTTCTCCTCAGGCATGTCTGGGTCAGCGTGACGAAATAGTCGGGTCATTTCTTCTATGAAAATGGCGACATTTTCATTTGGTAGCTGAACCGAAGTCTCTAATAAAGCAGCGGCCCTCTCTTTGCGAGCAACGCTCGCGAACGTTTGCAGGAATGCGCCGCAGAAAACATCCCACGTTCGGAGCGTGGACTCCCGATTTTCGAGCCAGGTCCTTGGGGTGTCTTCCAAATAGAAGAACACACGACGCAGCTTTTCGTCGTGGTCCCAGTGGTTGAGGGCGGCCACACGGTCGTATGTTTCTAGCCAGGACTCCGGGTCTTCGAACGATGACCCATGGAAAATTGGTGGTTTCCTGGGTTGATGCATGACCATCGTGGGCTGGGACGCTGCGGTTGTCATTGTCGCTGCAGTCGCGGTCATGGCCTTGGTCTTCCGCGCCTTGTCTTGTAGAAGCCCTCACTCCGGTGGTAGCCCTTGCTGTCGGCGGGTTGTTCGCTGCTCCTGGTTGGCGTCGGTGTCTTCTCCGCGACGTGGGCTGGGTTCACGGCTTGACGGGGGCGTCCGGTGCATGAACGAAGCAGCACCTCTACCAGATGTCACGGGGTCGTGACGTGGCCGAAGACAGGAGACTTCGTGTCGGGATTTAACTGTTTATTTGGGTGAACCTGTGTCCGGTAAACGGAAAGTCCAATTACAGCAGCAGTCTTGCACAGATAGCAGTCTCGGGCTGATACAAAGAGAAGTTTATTAACTTCAAACTCAAAAAAACTCTTTACATCATTTTATACATACAGTGCTCGTTTAGACACCCCTCTTGTGCACAATGGTGCATATAAACTCCATTATCCATAGAGGAAACTAGCGGCACATACACACACACACACATATATATATATATATATATATATATATATATATATATATATATATATATATATATATATATATATATATATATATATATATATATATATATATACATCTACACATATACATACATCTAAGTTTGTGCTAAACTACCCATACATTTGTAAAAAAACCACAAATATATATTTACAATCACATATACATATATTCACAACAGATCGTGAACATGAGTAGGCATATTTACAGTACTTCGACTGGCGCTATACCTACACTTGTAACACAATGTTTTGGGGAGAAGGGGTTAGTAGGGGATTAAGGGGGTACGGAGTTTCGCACCTCTGACGAAAAAAAAAACTTTGTGTGCCAGCGGAAAAGGAACTGGTCCTCCCCGCCAGCTTCCAGTTGCTTGGCCAAGTACTGCACTATTTTCTGCCTGATCATGGCTAGTGCTGGGTAGGCCGCTCTCACTGGGGTGTTTTTACCTCAGCAAGGCACCGGCGTTTCTAAATGACAAAGAGTGGGATGGAAATCACCAGCCTTGCGAAGCAGCCCCTATTCCTTTCGAGGGCTGGGGGAGGGCGGATGCTGAAGCACCTCGCAACCAGGCGCCATACCGACTTGGCCGCCCCGCATTCTAACAACGCGTGGGAGATCGTTTCCTCAGCGCGGCAATCAGGACACTGGCTATTCGGCGTGATGCCGAAACAGTGCAGGCGATGTCTCGTGGGCAAAACTTGCCACTTGCGCTTTCACTCGAAGTCATGTACTTCGCGCGGTCGGTACTTATTGCTTTTTTGTTTGCACAGTCTTAGGCTTTTGATCTGCTCCTTTTCTTCTTCGGACAACTGGTTTTCTGTTATCACTTCGACAATTCGGGCGGGTGGGTCCTTGTCAATGTGGCAGTTCGGGGCTTCTTTTTCTATGACCTTTGTCGTAGTTGC